GCTTCCGCGGCCCCGGGCGGGCGGGAGGAGCAGCCCCGCCGCCGCCGCCACCGCCGCCGCCTCAGGCCGTGAGGCAGCAGCAGGGCGCTCCGCCAGGCTGCCCGCCGCTCACCCCCGGCGCCCTTCCCGGGGACTGAAAATAACGTGGGGAGTGTTGGAGCCTTCAAAACACCGATATTTAAAAAAAAAACAAAAAAAACCAAAAAAAAAACAAACCTCCCCACCAAAACAAAACACGCAAAAACCACCTCAGTGCCACAATCATTTACAGACGGGCACTGAGGGGAGGTATGGCGGCGGGCCGGCCAAAAGGCGTTGGGGTGCAGAGGCAGGCTGAGGGGTTCGCCTCCCCTGCCGAGGCCTTGGGGACAGTTGGGGATACAGCTGAAGGGCGTCGTGGGGTGGGGAGCATGGCCCGGTGGGCAAGGAGGGCCCCCATCACGGTGAGAAAGGCCATGCTCGCCGGAGGCCAAAATACGTGCAGATGGAGGGAGGAGAAGGTCAGGGCCATGTCTTGCAGTATCCAGAACACATGCAGTAGGGTTTGGTTTTTCTTTCTTTTCATTTTCAGTGGGTGGGTTGGTGCCACGAGAGGTACCTGTTGGTTATGGGGCAGGGTCTAGCCACAGGCCCAGCAAAGTCTGGTGAGGGCCATGGCTGCGGCCTGAGCAGCAAAGGGCAACTCCCTCCTCCTCCTCACTGTATGAGCGACCCCCGGAGAGCCCAACCTGCCCCCAGGTTTTGCAGTTTCCTGCCCCAGCCGTAATCTTTCTGTTGCACGATGAGGAAGGGAGGCAGGTCGGTGTTGGAAAGGCAAAGTTTAAATTGATGCTTTAGCCTCCTGCTGAAATTCAAGGGCACGTGAGGTTTCGAGGATTGCTTCAGAGCTGGGTGAAATGCAAAAAATTTATCTTAGAAGTCCAGGAATTGAAGGTGATTGTAAGTGTGATCATCTTGGTGCTTCAAAAATGCACATCAAAGGCAAAGGATGCTCTTACCTGGCAAATGCTTTTACAGTGCCCTGTGACTCTGAAGTACAGTAAGACAAAAGCAGTCGTGAGAATGCCTACGTTTTACACGGGAAATAGCAATCTTGCAGTTTATTTAACAATATAGTATTATTAAACAAGCACTACTTTAATATTATTTTAGCTTCTACTTAGTAAATCCTCATTTATTCAGGACAAAAGATCACGTCTTGCTTCCCACTTGCATTCAGCTAAGTGGCTACCATTCTAACTTCAGATGTCAGGAAACTGGCTTTGTCCTGTTAATTGTCAGTCTTTTGCAAGGATTTGGTGCTTATTTTAAGATTTAAACAAAATAATCTAGCTTTTGTATGTCATGCCACTAATATATAATATTGATGAAGATTTTTATTTCATATACCTAATTTTGTAGGCTTACTGGCATTGGAAAGAATGCAGCTGCCATTCTACTACAAAACAACACTCAGCAGCAAAGCAACATAATCTTGCAGATAAACCTCAAAAAAACCCAGCTTCTGCTCTTCATGAACTAATTCCAACATATCCATTCAGCTGATATGTCACGAGATGGCGCGTAAGTTGTGAGAAAACCTTTTTCACTCATCCCGTGGGTCTGTAGTTAGCCTGTGTGTTTTGGTTAGCAGCAGGCCTTTTGGGAGTTTTATTAGTAGCCTTTTTTCAGGCCTCATCTGAGAAGAAGAGACAGAGTTGTTGCCATCCCTTGAAATGGCAGATCACAACAGCTGACGTGACGTGCAAAACTCAGTGAAGACCTCTAGTCTAAAGGCTTCGAGGTAAAATCAGTTTATGTGCTAATCTGAGTTAAATATCTGTGTGTCTAAAGCGTAGTATAGGGCAAATGCGAGGTGATGTGATTTAAGGGAATCCATTATGCAGCAGGTTAAGCAGATGACCTGATATTTGCTGGAGGCTAAGAGATTTGCTGCTGAGACACACTGCTCCCGTGTGCTGGCACGTCAAATCGCAATCAGTCCCTTACATGGTCATGTATCTTCAAGCAACGAGTGAGGCAGGAGAAATATTTTTAGGTGTTACAATTATATTTAAAATGTCTGAAACAAATTAGATGAGACACAGTATCAATTTTTCACTCTATTTAGAGAAATTACAACAGTTACTAACAGTTACATACCAGCTGGGCTGATGCCTACTAAATGGAGACTTTATTTTGGAAGCAAACTCAAGTGATATAATGGAGTTTTTTTGGCCCTTCTTTCATTTCAATGTTATCTTGCTATTTTCAAGTGTCTTTTAACTTCACATTTTCAAACCAACATAGTCGTCAGACTCTGGAACAGCTTTCCAGCATGTTAGGAGAGTGACAGAAAACCTAAATAATTCTAAGATGAAGAGTTTCCAGATTATGAATGGTATTCTATGGGAGGAATGTCGCAATAGCAGAAGAGGCAGGCGTTCTCCAGAAACCCCATTGGTCTTGCTTTTGTACACCCTTGACTGTCCTAGCCTGGCTGAAGTAAGAGTTCTGCCAGTTTGGAGCAGGTAAGGGCCTAGCTTAGATGACCTCAGATTCAGTGACTTCAGCCTTGGCAGAATTATTGACACAAATTCAGGAACTGAGCGTGTAGTCTCAACAGAAGTGTGGGGTTGCAAGTGGAAGCAGACGGACAGACTATGGTATAGGATATTTTCCTCTTCTTACTGTTAAGTCAGTAAGAGCTTGCACGCGTTCTTTGCATCCTGGTGGCTTGTACATCCAGGCCCTAATTTCTGAGCAGATCAGGGCATTTGTATAATACTCTTTACCACACTAACTTGTAGATAAATTTTAAATATAA